CAATCTTTCTGATAGCAGCATCCTGGTCTTTGAGTTTCTTATTTATGCAAAATAATGATGAGAGCATGTGTTTTATTGCAGTAACAAAGTTTGAAAAAAAAAAAATTACAAATCCCATTTCTTTTTAAGTCAAAGATTCTGGTCATCTAATTTAATCAGAATGGAGTTATATCAGTTGTCATGTCTTATTAAAACTTTCTCTGGAGCTAACAATGATGGACATAATATTTCTTTTGGCATTATTAGAATAGATTTTCTGATTACGTTTTTTTTTTTTTTTTTTTTTTACTTCAAATTAGAAAGTCTTTTTTTTTTACAAAACTAAAGCAAAAAAAGAAAAAAAGTAACTTCTATCAATCTTATGACCTTGGTAACTTTGAAGAATCCCCAATGAATGCTGTATTCATTCCCATGTCAATTTAAAATATTTACAATTTGTGTTGGACTCTTTCCCAGGCACAAACTGAATTTGAGTCCGAAAATAACAGTGAACCATCTAAAGTATAAAAGATTTTGTATCTTGATATGATATAAAAGAACATTTATCAAATAAACACATACAAGAAGTAAAAGTGGGACAAATTGCTGAGAAACTCAACAGAAAGCTTTGTTTATCTTTTTTTTTTCTTTTTTTTTCACAGCTTGTATTTAGTATTTAGCTTGACAGACACCACAAACTTGACTCTGTGTTTACACACTGCGGCCTTTCTGTTTGCCCTCATTATAAAGGTTTGACCTGCCAACATTCAGAAAACAATATGAAGTAAACACAAATAGTCAGCTAGCAATATGGATGGCAAAAAACCAATTATGGAAACAGGTCGGTGCTGATAACATCATTTTGTTTTTATTTATTTTTTTCTTGTTTGTTTGTTTTTTTTTTTTTTTTGTCTTTTGATTGTTTCTTGGCAAGAGGAATACTTTGAATTTACTCAGAGCTGTTAACTTGGCATTCACAACTGGCAGATTTCCACAACCCTGGTAAAGTATTGCCAGTCGTCTTATCAAAAAATCAGACAGTTGTGAGTTTGCGTATGCTTCTTTAACTGCCTGGCACCAACTGTTTGTGTGACACTATCAGGAAGAAATGATTTTTTATCTGAACAATAAACATCTGCTTGATGGCTTTCTCACTCACCTTCAGAGCTGTTTCTCATTTAGCATTAAGTCTGTCACCAGAACAGATCTGAGTCACTGACTGTCACTTCCAGCTTCAGTCAGTGGGTTTTCCAGACGTGTAATCAATACAACATTTTCTTTCTGATGGACACACACTGCGGACAGAAGGATTCTCTTCACAAAGACTACAGCTGATTGAGCAGCGTTTGGACTGCTAATGTGACTGATAGACTGACACATCTTTACAGGAAGTTACTCTTTGATCTATCATGGCCGCCTCAAGCTGACAGCACTGTATTTACACAGCATCTTGCCCCCAGTGTTTCTTTCCCCCCTTTCTACACTCAGAAAAAATCTTGGCTCTATTTCTTTTTTCCAAAATTACTGCTGTTCAATGATTAGGAAAGGAAAGAAAAAAGTTCAATAATTAAGGTTTGTCTAATTGGCATTGAGTCTGACAAGAAAGAGGCTTCGTACATAATAACAACCCAACACAGAAAGCATTCTTAAAGTAAGATACATGCAGTCCAGTGTTTGAGTGACTCATTAGCTGCAGCATCTGCTGTCTGGTGAAGGAAAAAGCAACATCATATACAGTACCTGGAAACTGCACTGAAACATTCAGAAAAATATTCTGAAATTGCACACTGTTGAGCCTTTAATCATTGTTGTTGGCCAAGCCTTGTGGATGATATAAATACTGTATAAGCAACAAGATAAGAGTTTTTTTTTTTTTCTCTTCTGTGTCCTTATAAACCACTATGGCTGGTACAAACACAGAGAAGCCGAGAGGACATTTAGCATTTTTGAAAATCATTTGAAAGCTGATCAATTAGAAACAAGAAACTTTTGGGAGCAGTTTGTGCAGTGCTCAATAAAAGTCACATAGTATGCGATCAAAATACCCCTCACGTTATTACACCACATCATCATTTTGATTTTCTTTTCATGTCGATAACACTAAGTTGTGTCTCCTCCTTCTTATTATCACAGTTGAAATCAAAACTTGTTGCAAAAGGCAACTCAGATCCCATCTCTTATCTATTCTGATTCTCTGTTTTTACTTCAGCTAGTCCTCTTCACCACATCTAGATGCCACCCAGCATAAACTTACTTTCATTTTAACAAGAGTGTACATTATTTACATTATTGATGCTTTCCTCTGAATTATGTTTCCTTCCATGGAATGACACATATTACTGGAATGTGAGCTCAATGCATTCATGATGTCAAAGCCTAATAAGATGGAAGTTGTGGGAACTATGGTAGTTCTTTTGTGGAGGAAAATAGCTGTGTTGAATAATTCATTCTAAACTTAATGCTCATTAGTGGATGAGCATGAATTTTTCTGTGCTCTTTTTAAACAACCCTAGCTAGACCAAAGTGCTCCACAGCAAAGTCAAAATATAAAGACATATGTCCATGATTTATTCATTTTTTATTTATGTCATAGAAAACCAAAACAAAGGCTAGTTCAAAGAAAACAAAAATGTCATGGCTACATCAGGAAGTCAAGTCTTTTTAGAAATAAAAGCCATTAAAATAAATCATTTTGTGAGTTTTTTTTTTAAACCTATCCAAAGTCTGGTTTTCTAATTTGCCTTGGCAGAACAATAAACTGACATTTATCTATGCCAAAGTGTGCTTAGTGTCAGTGCCTGACAGTTTTCTATAAATCAAATCTACATCTGGAATGGAAATTCTACGCATTTGTCTCAACACATTTATTGCATTATGTTCATAAAGTTCCAGATTTGTATTATATATCCTGGCATTATTTATATAATATGCAGTTCTTACTGTATTATATTTCCATATATTTTTTGCAAGGTGTTTGACAATTTCTATTCAAATGTTCATAAACACATTGATAAAGGCATTTTTTTAATGTAAATTTTAGAATGTTTTTTAACCCCTTTACTTTCACCCCCTAAACATCTGTAAAGGTATACCCAAATTAAATCAAGTGCTGTTCTTGAACAATTTGGAGTACATGCAATTTTTCTATTTTTCCAGTCAAAAATACTTTAAGTAGTTTGTAGCTTTCATATTTGTAACACAAGAAAAAGTTGCTTTGCTCAATTTTTTTATTTTTATATCTTGTAAATGCACATGGAGTGTTGAATGTCTGAACTGGGAAATAAATCTGTAGAATAAAATATTCTGCTCATGGATTTCAACACTGATCAAAAAAGGACAATAAGAAAATGTCATTTTGGACATGTTTATTTATGAGGATGTACAGGTGTTGTTGAAGTGTAGCTTTCGGAGTCTCCATTTGGCATCTGGCACACTGGGACAACATCTGATATACCATTGGTTCCCAAAGGATGGGGCACCCCCCCTACAGGGGATTGCAGTTTTCATTGCAAGGGGGTGCGGGAAGCTGTATGGATGATTGAAAAAAAAAAAAAGACAGTTACACAAAAGTGTTTCACTGTAAAGATGATTTGTGTTTTGTTTGGACATCAGAAAAGTTTAAACCCTTAAATCTCAAAAATACAATGGTAAAATGGCACGAGGCGTTCCGGTGTAGGTTAAGGTTCTAATGTTATTATTATTATTATTATTATTATTATTATTATTATTATGTGTGCGCTGAGAAACCAGTCTTCTAGTATATAAATTGTAAAGATTTACATATCTATTAATGGTTGTAGTGTTTCACTCTGCATGCATAAATTACTGTTTTAAACTATTACTCAAGGTTGGATTATATGGTATATCTGATATTTTTTTTCACTTCCGAGTACACAGAGAGATGACTCTTTCAATTTGCTCATGGACTTTAATTATAGGGACGTACCATCACATCTAGTGAAGGATAGCCTTACAGATGGCAGCAGTGGCCCTGAAGCGAGGAGTCTAGCACAACAAAAGTCTCCATTCTCCCGTTGGTGCAGACAGATTTTATTCATTTGATCATCAGTGTCATGGCAGTGGCATGTAGCCTGTTGCCCTCTCTCCACTTTGCTACTATCTATTCCTCTCCATCTTCAGTTCTGTCACCTTCCTGCCAGTTTGCAATGTCACAATAATTCTGTGTACAGTTTTAAAAACTTATTTTTGTGCCTAACAGAAGGAAACAAGGTCAAAAGTTTAGACGTAGATAAATATAAAAAATATGTATATTTTATTTTATTTGGTTCACATAAATTATTTTAAAAAAATAAATAAACATTAATTTAGTCAAAATTTTAAACTAGGCAACAAGACAAGGAAAAAAATGCATTTCACATGACAGTCACATTGCACTTTATAATTAGAGTGCTTGTTTTTAACTCTTTGTTTAACAACCTCTCACAGCCCTTAACACTTCAAAGTTTGTACATTTATAGACATTTGCAAACATATTCTTTATCTACAAGCTGTTCTGTTACATTCACTCTTAGACAAATGACACGTGAGTGGCAATTTTGGCGTTCAGTGTCTTCGATATGTGGACCATCCACTTCTCCTCCCATCAAAGCAAACCTCTTGTGTGTTAAATATAGAAAACCAAGAGCAGTGATGATGATGAACATGTGGATCAAGAAAAATATTGCAAAGAGAAAAATAATAGAACGAATCTGCTCAATGCCACTTTCTACGTTGCTTGTGATATCAGCACTAGAGTTTTAGTGCTACTTATTGAAATTACATTTTAACAGTTTCAATAAGCTATTAAAACATAGCTTATGCTCATGTAAGTTGGGGCTACTCATGTTCTGGTCCTGCAGTGAAACGTAACCTTTATCTTCCTCTCAGTTTAAACAATATTGCTGCTGAATCAGAAGAACTGTTCTGAGTTGCCATTCTCCATATGTTGCTTTCAGATGGGAGTTGAGGGAATTTGCTGTTGTGTCTTCAAACTAAAAAGTATTTTTCTTCTTTACCTGCAGCTCTAACATCTGCCATGAACAGAGGGAGAAAAGGAAGCAGAGACCAGGATTTTCCATGGGCCCCCTTCCAAAATGGTAAAAAATTATTTTGTACACCGCAGGGCCTTCTTTTACTGCTTGATTTCTTTTGTGTGACTTTTTTTTCGTCACCTGCAAAAGAAAAAGCTGAATGGGAATATGTTTCACCCACATTGAGTCCTGCATAAAATGAATTTGCAGTAGTTGTAGATATTTATCAGCTTCAGCTCTGGTGAACAGCGACGAGAACACAACATGCACACAGTAATTTTCCATAAGGGCACTGTACTCAGACCTCCTACAGTGAACACCTTTCAGTTTTGCTTTACAGAAAACCTAATTTACCAAGTGATCAGTTGAAAGAACTCCCTCTTCATCCAGCTATTTAGGGCTGATGTCTACAGCCTTAGTCAATGTAAAATAAAAAAAAAAATGTTCCTAATTATTTCAGAAAGGTATTATCAGAAATTGTTCTCTATTACAATATGCAGGATGCCGTGCAATGCCAACCCCACATGTAGCTCTCAGCCTTGCCTCTGGGAGATAGCTCTGGCTCTCAGTACAATCCAGCTGTCAAAACCTTAAAGGTGAACACACAAAGGAATGAATTTAATCACCTTAGTGTAACCCACATAAAGACAAAAAAAGCCCATCTAAACTCTGTGCTTTTGATGTAACTGTATATACAGTGGATGTTCTCGGTGAGAATATCTCTCCGTTTAATTCTCTGGAGAATGTTTGCTGGTGAATGAATGTCAACAACATAGTGTCAGTGCTTGCACAGCTGTAAAAGGAAAAAAAAAACATACTTGTTGAATCGTTCAGTTGCTCCAAGGTTAAAGTGTCTGACTTTCATGGACAGGTGTTTTCATGAAAATAGCTATGTGAGGTTTTGTCGAAGGTACATGTGTTGGTACTGTGGCAGAGAGCGGTCAGATGTTTGCTCTCAGCTCATGCTCAATGTTAAATGTGTAACTCTCATTGGTCTATTTTATTGTTAATATTCTATACAGATGTTGGCAACATTGTGCTATTGTTTTTCTTACCTAGTCGATGCACTATAAATAAGAACTAATTTCTTGTGTATGTTTAAAGCTGCTGTTCTCAAAGTGGGAGGCATAACTTCAGAAAGAATAAAACAATATGTAAAGACATAGCAAAACAAATAAGTCCATGACTGAGTCCAAGAAAGAAAATTGCAAATGTTTTATAATATATACAATTCTTTTTGGAAAGCGGCCATAAAGGCCGAAAAAAACAACAACAAAAAATATATTTAGATTGCACTAAAAGCTGCATCTCTGTTAAAATGCTCTGTTAGGGAACCGAAAACAAATACAGGTCATTTTGTAGATTTTTAACTTTAAGACTTTCCATATCACATATAATTTTCACATTACTTTTCAATTATGCACTATTTGGTGAGGATCTTTCACATGAAATCTCAATAAATAAATTGCATACATTGTTATGGGGAAAAGTTTTATGGGTATGCACACTTCTTTGAGGTACTGCAGGAAGAAGTAAACATATTTGAGTAAAATTTATTTTTGATTAAACCAACATCTCCTAATGCACAATTATATATCAAAAAGGTAAAAAAATAATAATAAAAAAAGTTCTAACTGGAATATAAATATGAAAAAAATCTAATGGGGAGCTGCAAGACTGATGAAAAAGTCCAGTGCCAAATGCGCTTTTATGCAATGCTTTGCAAAATGTTTCAAAGGGAAATTAAGCCTGGTACATTTTTTTATTAAAAAGGACATTTGCTGTTGCTTACTTGCTTTATGATGACATTTTGTATAAACAAGATTGAATTGAAGTGAATAAAATGTCAGACCTACAACATAATCAAATATTTCTCAATTCACAAGGACTTCAAATGATTTACACATACTGTCATGCCATTGCAAAAAAAGGTGTTTTTTTTGCAAAAACTAAAACATGGCAATTATTTAAAGCTGTTAAAACCGATGTTACTGATGCGGTCCTCTTGCAATTTATCTCATTTAGGACCTCAAAAGTAAGCGTCGGTTTCCAGAACATCAAATAATACTTAATGATAACAATAATCCTTGCTTTTATGCGACAAGTTTTTATGTTTCTATTTAAATGAGTGCCTGTTTGTCAGATTGGTCAAAGATCATGTCAAGGTAATTTTCAGAGGTACTGTAACCAACCACTGGGAGTCGTGGTCCACTAATAAAGCAAGATTATGAGTCTTTTCGAGATAATCTGAAATAACTGTGCAGTCTTACCTCAAACAATCCACAAAAATACATTACAAATGTTAAATAGGTGTGGAAATTAGAACACTAAGTGCACTCTTCTGGCACCACAAAGTAAATCCTTAGAATCAAAGTATGTTATCCTTTTTGCCCTATTGTAATACCAGACTGTGTACTTGGACTGAAGGGGCCAAGATAAAATTCACATAATTACTTCCTCCCTGTCTATATATGCTTCCTGGGTTTTTTTTGTCAGATCATCTTCTTGGCATTAGCCATTTTCCAATTGTTATTATTTATTTTGTCTTTCCCATTCCAAAGTTTGTTTTGTTTTTGGCTTTAAGTAGAAGCCAAAAACAAGTAGAAGAGTAGAAGAAAGTGCGAGAGTGACTTTTGTTTTACTGTCCCTCTTTAAACAGTGTGCATACTCTGATTCAGTCAAACCTCTTCGCTGAAATAACCTAGGCATTCATGCACCCTGGTGTGCAACCTCAACTTGTTTTAAATTTAATTTAGCAGGATTTCTCACAATTTACTTTTTCTGAAAAAAATAAAGTCACTGAGGAGATGACAGCAAGCAAAACCATGAAATCCTCAAATTGTCTGAGATACCAAATAGTACCTTCACTCTTACATCTCCTGTAGAGCATACATTCTTAAATAAAACATTTTTGTAATTTCATATATGATCAAGCATGTCTGAAACAACATCCTGCTTGCTTTTGCAGCTCCTGCTACTCAAGAGGCTTGGAAAGTTGTGGTTCTGTTACTAATCTGGATAAAACAAGAAGATCATAGTTCAAAAAGCCTATAATGACATACTAGGGTGTTGTAGAGAGATCCCCATTGGGAATGTGATCAACTTGACTTGTAATGTTGTGGAGAATTTGTTGGCAGTGATCATACTTTCCACATTATTCTCCTATTTGGGAGAATAATGTGTACCAAGATCGGTGCTTTGAGCCAGTCTAACAGTTGTTTGTTGTCTTTTGTTATTTTCAGCCCGTCCTTACTTGTGTATATGTGTTCAAATTAGAACATGGTAGCATACCTTGCTTTTGCAAGGTATGCAAAAGCATGGTTTAATTTGATCACAATTTAAACCAGACTACCACAGCGTTTTTGTAGTGTTGAAAAATTTCACAGCAGAAGTAGTGCGTCTGCAGAGCTGAAAACGCAAGGTCGAAACACTGCCGATCAGTGGGTGGCAGTGGGTGGGGTCACAAGAGTGACCTTATCGCTGATACTGCTCCATGATTTTCCACATTCTCATGTATTTTTAAAGGTTTTTTTGTTGCACAAGTGGACTTTATTTGCAGTGTGTTAGATAGGAAATGGGTAGAGAGACAGCTGATGAGATGCAGCAAAAGTCCCAGGGTTTAAAATCAAACCTCAGAGGGTGGAGTCTAGGACAAAGTGTTAGAGACGTTCCATATATGGAATGTCTGCTCTACCTCTGTTCCACCTGACGATCTTTTGTCTCGCTGCTTGCAGCCTGCTCTGATTCTCTTTAACTCTGACTGCTAATCATAAAAAAGCTGTGGGTGTGTGCGTGTGTGTAGAAAGTCATGCAACAATCCTCGGTGTGTTACTTGTAGAGAACAAACGATGTCTCTAAATATAGCTATAAAATATGCCAAATCCCTTAGAAATATATGATGCTTTAACTTAAATTTGAAGATGAGAGAGTTTCCTCCAACATGACTCTTAAAATACAGCAAATTTTTTTGATAACCTAAATGTGCAGAGAACCTTTATCCTGTATTTGATTAGATTTTAATTGGGCATTTTATGAACAACCTTGGACCATTTTACAATCCATTGCTGTTAAATCAAGACACATCAAAATGCATGCCACACATCCTCACCATCACTTGCCTTGAGTTTCAGATTAATTGGATAATCATTTAGTACATTTGGCTACTCCTCTTCTGTGACCAAGGTCAGAAAAAGTAAACTCTTCCCTCAGTAAAATGCCGATAGTCCCTCCCACTGTAGCAGAGACATGCTGAAAAGTTTGCATTCCTGATGATTAAACACACTGATTCCCCATCAGGCAATCACTTTGTGAACCCCACTACTTTCTTGTTATATGCCTAGTTCCAGCAGTCACGTAGAGGAAAAGTTTCCACTTTAATTGCTATGTCTTTATGAACTCAAACATTCACACAATAATTTCTGACACAAAATAAACCACAGATATACAGGATTTACTTCAGATCTTTGCTCGACTTTCAAATAGTGTTTTTCTCAACTCCCAAAGCACATTCAAGATTTATTAAGACGCAAAAAAGTATTTTACAGTATTACTTCTGCAGATGTTCAAATTTCTTAGATGAGGTTTTGAAATAGTAGAGTTTTGCAGGGTGGGGCTCAGTGTTCAGAACTGAAATGTCATGCTGGACATTATTTGCTGCATTGTGATATTTGAGGATTATGTTGTTATAAAGATTATTCTTCTATTTTCTAAATCAGCTTTGTCCTTTTCAGGGTTGCAGGGGCAAGGGCCTTGAGCCTCTCCCAGCTGTCACTGAGAGAAAGGCGGAGAACAAATGGTGTAGGTCATGAGTCCATCACAGAACCATCCCAGATACACACAAGACAAACAGCTTTTAGGATGAAAGTGTGCACAGTCACACCCACTGCTGAGGTCAGTTTAGAGTCATTGGTCAAAATCAATCATGTGTGTTTTTCAACTGAGGAAAATATGCACACTCCACATTGTTACCATGATTTTTTACATTTAAAAATGTATGTCTTTTTTTTATGTGATTTTTATTTTGTACTTATCCACAGAAAGCTAAAACACAGGCTTTAAAAGATAGAGAGGGTCAATGGATGTACAGATTGAAAACATTATTTTAAGTTAAGTTTAATGATATTGATGATGTATATTCATGCTTTATTTGCAAAGACTCCAATTTCAGTAGGAATATCTGATAAATTAAATAAAATAAAGTATTCATAAACAGAATAAACATGATCAGATTTTCTCTAAGTGACTGAAAAATATGCAGTGCAAATAAGCAAACTTGATTTCTATGAATTGAGAGAGTATTTTATGAGTTGCAAAGAGTCAACCACCTTCTAAGGAAATCATTGGCAATTTTTACATGTTATTATTAGGAACTCCAGATAGTGCTAGGATAGGTGAATAAATTGTACATTAAATTTAGACATTAAATTTAGATAAACTGACCAAGTTTATCTAAACTGAAAACATTTTCAATTGATATTGGAATTGTTTTTGATGTATGTTACTTGCATTTTCCTGAAATTACCATTTTGTGTTCAACTAGTAATCATAAAACCCTGATCTACAGGATTTTGAATAAGTTAAAGGTCTTTATTTTTTATACACAGATAACAGTTTTTATGCGTCTTGCTCAGAAATGGTTGATACATTTTCCTGCACAGAATACAATCATTTCTCCTTTTTCAAACAGCAAGTTGAGTAGCATTACATCTTGAGAGAACAATAGAGATGACTGCACACATTGTCTTTGCAGTTCCATGTCTTTGGCAAGGGGGCACCCACAGTTTACAAGGCTTGCCTTCAATTTTACTCATCAAACACTGGTTGTGTACACAGCCCATTGAAGACAGAGAAAACGCAGCAGAACGTGACAAGAACATCAAGTGTTTGGCTATCTGGGTAAGAAGGGTTCTAAACTATCACTCCTAAGTGATCATGGACATGTTATTCCTATTTTGGCTTGGCACACTCCAAGAATATCTTGAAGGACAAGTATGTGCGGCCACTAATCCCATGTGTTTCTATTACGTTGGTCAGATTCTCTATGTAAAAAACATGACATTTAATGTTTAATGAGCAGCCATTTTAAAGATGATGATTGATTTAAAGTGCCTGCTACTATCTGAAATCTTCTTCAATGCAATTTAATTTCCCCTGCGTTCTGTTACCAGTAGGCCTGTCTTGTTTGTGACCTAACAAAGGCTCATCATTAAGATTGAAATCTTCTGCACATAAATTTTTATTTGAAATCAATGCAGTGACCTTCACCATGCACAAGCAAGCTCAGTGTCAAACATGTCTCAATTGGAGGCACTGTGTTAAACAAATGTTGCATATCTTTCTTGATGAGTTAATTATTAAAAATAAAGAAAAAGTTCAAATCAAAGAGTGTTTTAGTACTTTTTCTAATGAACAAGAAAGTAAGGTGGGACATCTTTCAGCTGAACATATAGAGCCGAAAATATTGTTCCTGTATGAGTGTTGCCCCAGGCTCTGCTTCATAGTAGACAGATGGAAGCAAGCACTGCCACAGCATGTACTATTGTCTTCATCAAACAACACACAAAGGACAGTTTAATAGTCAGTTACTTCCATGGAAGGGTAACATTTTCCAGAGAGATGTGCTGATAAAACTTAAATATTAGTTTTAGAAAACATGCATAAAAAAAAGACTTTTTTTTCTTTTACTTTTTACCTTTGTCATTTCCAAGAATATGTCTTCATATGACAGAGATAGTAAGTGGATGAAAAATGTTCCTGTTCAGACTGCTGTCTTAAAGTGGTGAGTTTTTTTTTTGTTTTTTGTTTTTTTTCCTAACATGTAAATTTAAGTGTGTAGGTGCCCTTCTGCAATTAGTAGATTCAGAAGACGGAGAAGACGAATTGTGGCTAACGTAGAGATGATGTATAAGGACTGCTGTTCTCCTCAAAGGTTGTTCCTGGAGAATCCTAGCCTTTCCATCAGTTTAGATTTCATAGGTTCAGATGTACCTGAATATACTTTGGATTAAACCTCCCATGCATTTTGAAAAAATTATTTGTCTTGATATCAGGGACTTTTATTTCCTCACCTTGTCCCTTCTGCCACATGTGCTTTGTCCAAATGACATTCTGATATTCTTACTGTCTATCCAGGTTAGGTGGATCAGTGAATTGATGTCTCGCTCTTTCTTGGCATACAGCTCAATGTTATAGGTAACTGATGGTTTTAACAAAATGAGTATCTACAACAGCTCTTCACGATGATATGATAGAGAGAGTTCAGATCTATGCAGAACAGTAGCAGAAAAAGAGCACCACCTTGCTATAACCAACACCTGATGATAATTTAGTTCTCTATGAATGATCAAAGTCAATGATCTAACTGTTGATGTTAACTTCAAATACTCCAGGATCCATTTGTGTGGCATTCAGTCACACCCTTTCTTGTCTACTCTTGCAGAGTTAGGTTGTAGGGTTTCAATGGTTCAATAGATCACATATCCTCTGAATCTACCCTCTTTCATTGAGCTGAACAGCATTATTCTGGGCTTTCAGAAATTAAAAGTGGGAAAAATCCCTCACATAGAGCTGGCAATGGTCTGTCTAATAGAACTTATAGTTAACTTGTTTAAAATAGATCTGCTCCCCTTTCAGCTAAGACAAACTTAGGATGCAGAGGAAGGTCCCACATTGTACTTACCATCTCTCCTCAGAATCCTCTCTTCTCCCTTTACATGTTTGAAAATAGTTTTTATTGATGTCATAAACCTGTTCTTTTTTATGTCTTTAATTTCCTATAACATGTGTTGCTGATTTGGCAGTTCTTTATTTTGTATTTGTGTCTATTCTGTTCTCTCACTCTCCACTCTCCCAGCCAGCCAAGGCAGATGGCTGTCCATTGAGTCAGTTTTGCTGGAGGTATCTTCCTGTTACAAAGGAGCTCTCTTCTCTCCTGTCACCGCCCGGCCATGCAGACACAGGATGGGAGGGTTGAAACAACGTGAAGATCTGATGAAATCTGGGGACCTCCTTTGTCACAATGTCTGGTGAAGATGGAGGACCCAAATGCAAAACAGCAGGTGGGAGGTGTAGATAAGGTGCCAGCAAACTTGCATGATTTATAAGAAACTGCAGAAAGACCTAGAAAATGACTGGGATGGAAAAAACAAAACAAGAAAAATCCAATATAAATCTTTCTTGTAAAGTGTGTTATACAAAATTGGTAAAAGACAAGCTAATCACTGTTATAAAACCATTAAGTGAGCAAATACGTTGACGTTGCATTTGTCAAATAGAAACAAACCACATCAACTAACAAAGGAGGGATAAACTTCAAGTAAACTGGAATGACTTGTAAAGAATGGATTGTGAGTGGATTTAACTTCACACTTGATAATATTTCACAGTACTCTCAAAGAATACACACTGGTTTGTCTCATTACAAACACACCTCATTGTATTGTCATTTGGATTTTTGAATAACTGAAAGATGGTAGAAAAATGATGCATGATATTGCATTTTGTATTTGTGAAAGTCAATGGAAATATCTGACTCCAAAGGTTTCTTAATTGTTTAAAAAAGTGTACTTATATATAGTGTAATCTCACTATAAACTCAATTGGTGTATGAAGTCCTTAGAGGTTGGCTAGAGAACATTAGTGAACAAAAAGCAGAATAAGCTTTAGGAGAACACACCAGGTGGGTTAGGGAGAGAGTTGTGGAGAGCTTCAGAGATGAATTATCTTGTAAAGTTATTGTTGAAGCTTATATAAAGCACTTTCTAAGTAATCATGTGACCATGGAAAGAGAACAGTCCACTGTGGAGCAGCTGCAGAGACCTACCACTCAGGTGGATATACAGATACTGGGAGGACTACACTTTAAAATGTGACAATGTGAGAGCCAGTCTTGAAAGAGAGCTGGAAGGACATCCCTCTTGCAGTTTGTCACAAGTAAACAGAAACATAATTAGAAGCAATTGCATTTTTGTGCTCTGGTTGAGTTCCAGTGTTTCAATGTCAAGGTGCATTGATGCTTTTTAGCAACCTGCAAAAATACCTTATTGTAGCCTTTCTTTGAATTTAATTTTAAACCCACTGTGTGCAGGAAATGGAGCAGAACTCCAAAACACTTTCATGGAATCATTATTTATTTATAGTCATTATATGGTTATTACCATGCACTCTTTCTACCTGTGCATTATAATGATCTAGCTTCCACTATTTATAACATGGAACAGATCTCTATCTCACAGATCACTTTTCAGTTTTCTTTTAAATAGATAATTCATTAGAAACTCTCGTTGTTCATTTAAGGAATGCAAATTATTTGAAAAAAGGGAAATGTCTTTGCTCTACAATCAGAAAAAACATAAGAAAAGAAAACAACTACAAAAACAGCCCTTTTGATGAGATTACTATGACATGCTGGTTTGTAAAGAAGCAATTAGCAGTTTAGCAATAACAACTGTCAAGGTCAAACATGATGTCACTCAACTGTAGAGAAAGCATGAATGTGTGCAGATAATGTTTGAATTTCTACTCAGAACAAGCAACAATACCTGTTTCTCATTTTCATCTGCATACATTATTTTATGACTGTGTGAGGACATGCAATGTGACAATAATAGTGGTTTGTAAACTTGCTGTAGTCTAATTGGTGCGTTTCAGCTAGATAACACTCAATGCTGGACCCTTCATTAGCCTCAAGAGTTGTTTACCTTCTAATGAAGTCTGTTATGCCGTTTTAGTGTGATTCAACCTTCTCTGAGTGGACATTATTGACAGAGGTCTTCTCAGCACTGGTATTTAATGTTGTCGTCAGCTCCACTGGTAGATTGGTACCAAAGAAAATAACATGTTCAATGTTTCATACAGAAAAACAACAAAAATGGTCAAACAGTCCTTTAAACAAGAGAGTACATGAATTCCTGTCATAGAAATAGTCTGTAGTTTTGATTTTACTTTACTGACAATTGCATGAGATGAACATTGTCTTCTAACTCCACTATAAAACAAACATAAAGGACCTGAAATGGAAGACATTTCAGCAATTTGCAAATCATACAAAACCAACTATGCATTTTGCATATTCAAGCCATGTAAAAAAATTTCAAATATAATTTTCAAAGTATGATTTCAGACAGGATGTCTTTTTGTGTATCTTTTATTTCAATACCATTTCATCTCTCTCCCAATAAGATGAAAGCAAATATTGAACTGTCCTCGCTATGTCCACTCCATCTTTCTCAAATCTTTTTCTTTCTCCAGAGATCCTTGAGAAACTGTGAGATAGAGAAGTAGAATGAGAAAAGAACACAGGCAAAGCAATGGCTTTAACTCAATGTGGTAAATCTCAATGCGTCTTGAAAGTTGCCATGGATACAAACCAGTCTTGTATGAATGGAAAAAAAAAATGTTTTGTCAGTATGTCTTCAACTTTTGAAAAATGTCTGCAGTATTTTTAAAGAACATAGCTTTGGACTTCTTCTGCAGTACTTTCAGAGTGACAAGCCTGGGTAACTTTGTTCTTTTTCAGTTGCTGGAAGCAATCCAATATTAACAATTTACGTTTAAATGTTAAAAAAAAAATATCCATGGAAACTCAAACAGTGATAAACAAAGATGAAAGTATAGCAGCTGCTGCACTGTGGCCTCTTTAAACAAGTTATGCAGTTTAAGCTGATAGGATAATACAAAATAAAAGACTGGCATTGAGCAGGACATGGTCAACAAAGAAGCTTGTCTTACTCAATGCCTCAGAATGTCAGTACAGAGCAACCTTGCTATGTAGTTCTGCAGCTTTATCCCTTTACCTTTCCTTTTCTGAGCTGTGCTTGACTGATAAGCCGTATTAGTTAGTCGTGAGGATTTTACCTTTATGCAGAGCAGGCCATCAATCCAGTTGGAGAGAAACAGAAAACACAATCAAAGGTACAATTGAAGACATTTTAAAATTGTACCCTCATATTGTAATTCCCCATTCAGTTTCTTATAGAGCAGAATTTTTTTTTTACCAGATTTTAAGAACCAGGTCATGAACTGGTGGTTCTTCAGTCAATGTTTCTTAATGTTTGTGAATTTTATAGTTTTTATTATGACTACAAAGCTTCTTTGTCTCTCTCAATAATGGAAAACAAGAAGTAAAGTGATGGTGTGCCTTGAATTTTCATAAAATAGGTGTGTTTCCTTGTATTGGTCTTCATATTTGAATAATGTAGTAAAATTTCTGTTATCTTGCTTTTTAATCTTGTATTCTGTTTTTGTGTGTAGAGCGATAGCAAAACCTGTTTTGAAACTGCAAAGCAAAAGTCGCCTTTAGGCTAGTGGACACCTTTATACAGCTGTTCATCAATGTGCACAGTTTTATGAAAACAAATTAAAACCTCAAACATAGTGGTCATCCATCTTCTCGGGATGCTAAATATTTTAATTACATTACCTTTTAGTAAACTCCTCAAACTCCTTTTAGTATGATCATTTATATTTTATTTTTTATTTTTTAAATTGTGTTATTCCATGGGTAGCTTGTGTCATGGTGTTAACCATGTCGCACATCAGTAAAAAGCTTTTCTTGAGTACTAGAATGAGTTATAATTAGGACATGTCAAACTTCTGACAACAAATAAAAACTGATTATTATTATTATCAGCTTTAGTACTCACAGGTTTACATGCATCAAATGCAAAAACGAGTAACTAACCTACAAATTACCTGAAACTAACTGCTCTAAAACAGCTATGAAAATCAACACGCAAAGGACAGTTTGGAGGGTATTAAACATGAGCTATTAGCATTACTAAAGACTTAATCAAGCATATGTGTTTGTCTTACACTGTGTGTGGTGCAAGGCCCAAATGCAGGCATGAGGCAGGTAGATTTATGGAGCAGTGGAATATTTATTAAAGAAAATAGTATATTCAAAACTGGCAGGAGACACAAAGGAAAATAACAAGGACACAAATCAGTGACACATTGATGATGGCAACAGGGGGCTCTGAACAAGACTGAGAGAACCCAGGGAGTTTATGCATACACAGGGAGGGAGTGATTACTGGTACAAGGATCAGGTGAGACTAATTAACTTAATGCGGAGCAGCTGGGGGTTGGGAGGACTCTGAGGCTGGTATGGCATAAAAACAGAACAATATCCAAACAAAACATAGCTAAAAAAAAAAAGAGCTAAATAAGAAGTAAATAGCCTAATAACCAATATAACCAAAGAAAGGATGTGCATGCCAACTTGTTAAAGCAGATTTATTATTTCATTTATATTTCATACCCTAAGCACATATTTTTGTTATATTTTTAAAGTACATGACCTCATGAAAGGTGTTCATAATATTACTGCCAAGGACGGCCCAGCATAGATATATGCTGTGATGAGAGGTATCCCCTGCATTACAAAACTGGCGCGTCTGCATGGTCGATGTTGCATCCTTTCTACTCTTTTTGCTCAGTTAGTATTAAGCAGTTGATCTTGTAGATGGAAATGGTAAAGATAATTTGGAATTAAATTATTCTAAATACACTTATTTACGTTTCTTGTTATCCAGATGTTTATTGGTCAGCAATTGTATTATTCCATTCCATTACCAAAATTAACAAATATTGTCATTATCTGTAAATCCAATACAAAACAGATCAGTTTTAACCAATTTATTGCAGAAATTAAAGAAAGTGCTTAATGTCTTAAAACTTTTTAATTCAATTAATATTTGGTATATTTTATGCATTTGTTCAACTTTAAGTCTTTTAGCTGTAAAGTTCACCTACATTTTAATCCAGGGAAAGGCCAATGTCTCTTAATTGCAAGCATGAACAGAGATGAGAGGTCTGCCAATGGCTGACCTCAATGTTACCAGTTGCCAGAGCTGGCATAAATGGGCAGCCATTTTAATGGGTAATGGACTCAGCTCAAAATGTTTTAAGACAGAGAGCAAGTGCAATGACTTGCCTTAAGTCAAAATAAAAGCAGTTTTGTTTCCCTAAAAATAAAACAAAAAAGAACAGAATATAGTATCCCTGATTTCATTTTTGACCAGTAGGTTGTTTATCGTCTTTAATTTTTATGGTTAAT